GGGACAAGTTCTGTGAAGCCTGGTGATAAGGTGTTTCCAGTGATTTGTATTTTTATTTATTGCATTGTATTAGCCATTCATGTGTGTTTATGAAATTGATATGCAAGATTAGACTTTTGAGTTTGGTAGTTTCTTTATGTACATATACAAGCAAAATATATAAAGTGAATGAACAGTAGCTGTGCCATCAGGTATCTGCATTGTGTTTCTGTCAGTTGTGTATTTTAAGCTGTTAACATTTCAAACTTTGTGTACTTGGTTTATAATATTCTTCTACCTGTGTACATGTATATACAAGTATACTGTCAGTAGTTATAGTAAAGCTCTGAAATACCTAGTAAGCTATAGTGGAAATTTAAACTGCTTTCAGAACAAATTTTACTGTGATGGATGGATGTTCAAGGGACTAGCTGTTTTTAAATATTTGAAGAATGTAATGGTAGATACTATGACCAGCTGTTCCAAGCATTTGCTTGACATAGTTTACAATACTTTGAACACTGCTTTATGTTATAAATCATATCCTGAGTTCAATAGATGCAAAGCTGGTTTCAGAGTTTAAAAAGTACTTGATGAGTACTGGCCTAATGATTAACAGATAAACTTGGAAAGGCTTGCCATAACTTCATGATATGAGAAATTAGATCACTATAAAATAGAGCCCAAGGATTTCAGAAATGACAGTGGAAGTGGGAATAGGTCGTCAGGTACCAAATTGTTTCCCACATGCATATTTCTATATACCATTTCATTCAGTTTTGCCCTGAAGGTGGAAGCAGTTTGTTTCTCTGAAACATTGTTAACCACCTACAGTTCCACGATTTCATAATCCACAACACCACAGTCCATATTTATTCCTCTCATATTTACAATACTTCAGATATCCATCATAGCTTATACTAGCAGTATGTAGTATCTGACAATATGCTTTCAAGCATTTACACAGTGCACCATAGGTATGCCATTTCAGTCTGTTGCAAATTTCTTCTGAACCAGTTTTCCTGTGTAGGATTTGAGGTTTTCACAACGGTGAGTCTGAAGATGGCTGTCTTCTGGGTTGTTATGCTGTGTAGTCTGGTAGATTTCCACCTACTAGACTACACAGCGCAATAACCCAGAAGACAGTGATCTTCAGTTTTCCTGCATTTATGAATTTTTTCTCGGAGACACTAAGACTTGGTATAAGAAAGTGATTTAGTCATTTTACCAATCAGAATTGGTATTATACGTGGTGACATGTATTAACTTTATGTTTTCCTTGTTAAATGTGGGTAGAGTAAGAAATTCTGTAGGCAAAATACACATTTTGCATGATGCATAAGTTTTTCATGAGGTATATTTGAGAAATTTTATTGTTTTCTTCATATTTGTACCAGCATAAAAAGCTGGAGGACAGAAACAGTGTTTAAATTCATGTGTCTACTTCAGAATGTAGTTCTGTACATCACTGTCTTTAATGCGAAGAGGTAGTTTCGAACTTCTACTACACTGCAGAATCAGTGCTCCGATTTGTTTGTGTGTCCACATCTAATCCTGTAATTTTATAAGTCAAACTACTGAGTTATACTCATTCAAATCTACAGAATCTTCACATATATAAGGTAGCTCAGTCTGTATATAGTTTGTGAATATACAAAAATGTGATGTTACACCAACAACTCAGATAATTCAGAAGATAAATAAATGATCTGATTTCAGACACTAACAGGGCCAGTGTCATCACTTGTTTTGTGGCATGTAGTGCTTTCTGCTGCTTTATCAGTAGTGGTACAGGAGATTTTTGCAATGGATTCACTGAAAGACAAAGAATTAGGCAAAAGTGATAAATTTTTGCTAATTTAATAATTTCTTACCTGCTGCGAGGGTCACATTTTCCCATTAGTGGGACATAAATGCTGCACTTCATAGGTTGATATTTGATATTAGAGGATCATTTCTGATCCTTTACTGCCTTCCTTACTTGACTTGTCTCGTTAGGATATCACTGCTTGTTTGTAATTCATAGTAACGTTGGACAAGATAAGAATGTCATAATTTTTGTAAGTTGTTCCATGTGAAATATTTTGTTCTTGTTCATACTGTTTGTCTTCGTTGAACACACTTTCATATACATGTGATTAGTTAAGAATGTTTATTTTAGTAAACATGTTAGTACTGTGTCGTCCGCGAGGCATGAGAGTAGACGTGGCCTTGTCAGCCGTTGCTTGTGTGGGTTCTGTGCATGTGCTGGTGATGTATTCCTTAACTAAGAACATTGTGCTATCAGTCAGTCAGTACATCAGCTCACGACATACGGCCTGTATAAGTTGCGGGCGTTTTTGGTCCGCTAGTAGCACAGAATTCTACCCCACCTCCCTCAAAGATGTCAGGTCTACTCTTGTGCCTCGCGGACAATAGTCGCCAGATGTTTTGCGAGCTGTACTCCCTAGTTCCCAGGCTGAACTTGATTCAGAATGGTTAGACAAAGACTTAGAGAGCAACCTGGTGATGCAGTAGCCATCTCAGAAACACTAACTGTTATGGATAAACCACTATAATTATTTCCCAACCCTTACTTTGTATATCTCTTTTGTATCACGGTTCACCCTCCATTATTACTGCTACTCATGAAGTTAAATCTTGGTACCATGCATATCTAGAAGCATGGAGGTGATGGAAGAGATAACATTTTCTGGAAAGTTTGTTGATGTTGCCCCAAGCTGACAGCTCACAAGATGTCTGGTGACTGCTGTAATCATTGAATTTATTGTGACAACAGTAGCATGTATTGTAACGGGTGTTAGTCAGCAAGTGATGTTGCATGGGCTACTGATGCATGTTGTTAGTAAGTTCAAATGAAGTCGGGGAAAGAAAATTTCATTAAATGAAACTATATTCCAAACATCTTTACTGGCAAACTTACTTTGAAGTTTATGCAAGAATTGACAGACTAAATCTGAACAGCACTTAACAAGAGAGACCTCTGTATTTTAATTGAAAATATTTTGCACGTATCTACTCCACCTTCACATATTTGTCAAATAAATACAAATTGGCTTTTAAGCATTGGCAGGCTTAGCAGAACCTATTTGATCAGCTCAGTTAATTCACTAACGGGTTTTAAAATATGAACCAATGACATGGAAATTAATTGTTGGTGTAGGAAATCAAAGTAAAGGTATTGTTTATATCTGATGCCTCCTGGTATGGTCTATGATGATCTTTCAGGCCTCTGCCCATCTAGGCAAAGACACAATCCATTTATGAGGTGAGAACACCCATAAGGTAGATTGTCCTACTCCCAGTGATAGGTTGATCATGAGAGTAATGGTAGTCAGAGGGGACCTGCAGTTTAATGTGGACTCCAACCATGAGAGACTGATATTATTCACACTCCTGAAGTTTTATTTGATAGTGTGAAGTCATAAATCTGTGAACAAACAAGTCCACACACTGATGTGACTGGTGATTGAACTCAGAATCATGTGAGAGATGCCAGTACATCTTATCCCAAGACCACCAGATCTCCAGTGAAACTACTTCTGTTTTTAACGTTTTCTGTGTGGATGATCTTAGAAATTTTATAGCGCATTATATATATCTGTTAGAAAATGTTGACAGAAATAGCTCATTATTATGAATGTCACCATTAAGAGACTTTACAAGCCAGTGTAGAAGAAGTTTGAAAGTGCACATCAAAAGCTTAAGCTCTGATATGATTACTTAAATAGTTGGGAAGTACTGTCCCCCATAAACAAGAATTATACCACTGAATAGATTTTGCTTTTGAATGTTCTTCACACCTTACAGGCTTATCTATGCCTGTCTTATTACATTTCTTCCTAGGAACAAGGCAACCTCCATTACCCCTAGGTTGTTTTTGAGATTATTATAGTAAGAATGTGAACTGAGGTCATTGTTCAAACACATTCTTGACTGGATAATATTGTTGCCTTTGTTGCATTTGTTACTCCCTTGGTTGCCCTGCTGATGTCAGTACATTTGATGAATACCATTTAAATTTTATGTATCCAAATTTCGTGTGTTTGTCAGGTGTTTTAATACTTCTAATAAGCCAGCTAGGACTAATACAGGGAATAATAATAATAGTTTTTATTATTTTGTTATTAAAACATTTTATCAACACATAATCAGATCTTGAGGTTCCTTTACACTGCGTTATGTGGTAACCATAATGGTGGTTCAAATTTTATCCAGTATTTTTATTTTTCTCATGAATAACACTGTCAATTTAGGTCATTTTTGCACAGTCATATCATGGACTATGTACATGTAAGGGGAGAGTACAAGAAGAAGGCTGTTTAATATGAAAAAGGTAAGATGATTTATTGACATGCTATGAATATAATTCCAGGTAAAATTTGAACCAACTACATGTGTTCAAATCACTGTGGGTCTGAGCCAAGGGTAAAATGGCCAAGTCAAAAATGTTATGACACAAATGTGACTCACTGTCAGACAAATGAGTTTTAACTGCTACTGATAATGTTGATGTGTTTAAATATTATTTCTGTAGGTTATTTAATGGTTTCATGTTTGCCAGTCTGTACATAAAGGCAGAGAAAGGAATGGAGAGTCAACTTTGCGTTAAATTTATCCACCACATATTTTATGTGAAGTAATCTGATCTCAGGCACTGATTATTTAGTGGCAGGCCTGTGTCCTTAAGAGAAGCCAGTATCCACATGGCTGAACATTTCAAGGATATTTTCTATTGAATGTTTCATATCTGATTGTTTTTGTTGGCGCTTTGAATCGGGAGAGTTTTATTTAGTTGATTTCTTCTGCAACCTCAGTCATCCACAGACCAGTCTTTGCAAATCTCCAAACTGCAGTCATTTTCTGGTCAGACCATTGTATCCTCATCCATCGATGTATGTGGCAAAACCACAAACCGCCATAGATTAAAGCATGTTGGTTTGGAACTGTTAGACTATATGGAGAGATGCATGAATTTAACTGATGCTTATGACCAGCTAAAGCACAGTTGTGTGTTGCAGGTGAGGACACAATGCTGAGTGACCAGCCGTATCGTTACCTCACTGTAGATGAGATGAAGAGCCTTGGAGACGACTCGCTACCCATCGATGTTACCCGAGATGAGAGATTTGACTCTAATAGGGAGTGCATGGGTAAATAGTGCAGTGGATTTTGAGCTGAGCTGTTGCATTCCATTTTCTTGATCTTGTCCTGTTCCAAATTCCTTCACCTCACTGTACTATACATTACTTTATTCTTTGCCACATTCTGTATAGTGTGAGTGGAGGCAGAGCTCTATGCAGTCCTCATGTTCGCACTTGATAAAAGTAGTCATATTTATGCTGCAGCTCCTTTACTTGTAGGGA